CAAATACTAAATTTTGAATCCAATTTTGTTCCAACTGAAAGCAAGATGAAAAACCTGTTGACCAGTGAAGTAATCGGCTTTGATTGATGGAATAGATTGTAAAAGCTCGGATAAAGGTAACAGCTTCACCACTTCCTCTACAAGTCAATCCTAGATTGAAGAACTTTTCTGCAAAAAACTAAATCATACAAGATTTAGAACCAAAATAATATAAGTCTATATAGTAGTTTTCCGACAAGACTCTTACGGTGTTAGGCGAATCAAATAGGGTTTCGCCATGGGTCTTCCGTCGAAATATGTATGGACGGTGAGATTTCCACCACATCTCAGAGAAGAAAGCTAGGTTTTTGTGATTGGGGTTTTCGACAGAGTGTTGATAGGCCGGTTCTTCGAATCTCTGCTGTCTTTAACCTTTGATTATATTGTTCCTTGGCTGGTTTTGCAGATCTCAGATCCTTGGATGGCGTCAATGAGTGACTGATCCGTTTTGGTTCTGCAGTGTCAACGAGGAAATTTTTCTGTTGTTAGTATTTCTCGATTTTATTAAGAGATTTATTAATGGTAACAGTAAAAATTTACTTTATACCGTAAATATCTTAAGATTGAGTGAATGATAGATTTGTAATTGCAGTTGATAAAAATGCCTAAATTGTTAAAAGTGACTGTTTATGTAAGATGAGTTTGAGAAAATGCCCTTGTGTGTAATAAACTCATCTTCTCTTCTTCTCACTTTGAACAATAATTAATTATATTAATAAAATATAAATACATAATACAAATAAATAATACTTAGTCAAATTAGTTATTTTAATAATAATAAATGCATTCCCTAAAATTTAGTATAACAACATCATCAGTTACTATATATATTTAGATTTAAATTCTTAGTCAAGAACAAAAAAGAAACAATCAAAAAATTAAAAAAAAATAACCATATACTATTTTAAAAAGATCACTAGAACATTATAAATACGTTGAGAAAGTATTTTTTTTCAAAACTTGCAAATCGGAAAGGTATATAGAGCTTTTATAAAACTTGCAAATTTTTGTGCTTAATTTATTAATTAAAACATTTTGTTTTTACACAGATGACATTATCAGGTTTTTTCGTAATGTAATGTATAAATATACTTTTTTCAATTTTATATGTTTTATATTAACTTATGTATATGTTTTTTTTCTAAAACATTTATAGAAAGAAATCACATTGAGTGATAACAAGAGCCATATCTTTCTTAGCATATCCATTTCCGAATAAGAAGAAGAAAATTGGAAAGAAGCATACTTAACGAAAGAAGGAAAAGATCACTTAATTTCTAAACTTAAAGAGGCAACTAGATATAAATTGGAATGGAAAAAAAAATTAAAATCACTATGACAATTTTAAAAATTGGTATACTGCATATAATAGATTATGCAAAAAAACCGGAGTATATATCAATCAGACTACTAGAGAAATCAAGATGGAAAAAAAATGGTGGGAATATCAGTTTAAGGTAAATCACATTTGATAATTTTTTAATTGATATCATATATATATATATGTTCTAACATTATATTTTTTTAATGATGGTTTTTTATATAGGAAGTTCTTGGAGCTGCTCATATACAAAAAAAAAAATGCTGCAAGATCTTGATATGCTAGAAAAAATATTTGCAGATGGGTATATTAGAACTGAAGATGGGTGGGCGGTTGGAAATGGTGCTGATGTGTATGTTCCAATGGGAGGTTGATGATTCCGACAAAGGTGATGACAATGAATCCATTTTTTCAGAAACTCCAAGCACCGAAGATCGTATCCTCACAAAGAAAAAGCCTTCAAACGCTAATGTTATAAGAAGGGTAAAAGTTCAGGGAACAGTGAGATTGCAATGGAATACGATCGACGATCAGAGACTATTAAAATTATTGAAGAAGCCATGGGTTCAGACAGAGAGAGAGAGCTGTACGTCGTATTCACCAGCTCGCTAATCTTGAGTATAATTCATCCTTCTATTGGGATGTGATAAACCCAATTGAAACTAATGAGTCAGCTCGACAGATGGTTATAGGACTGTCAAATGATGAGCATCTTCTTAATTATCTACAACGCTCAGTTAACATGCATGGAAACTCATCTTCGTATCGAAATTATAATTTTTTATAATTTTTAATATTTGAATAAAGTTTAGTTGCATTTAATAATTAAATAAGGTTTAGTATTTGAATAAGGTTTAGTTTTATTTATTTATGTTTGTAATAAAAAGTTTGTTTTTCAATTTAAATTTTTAATAATATATCATCAAATTTTTAATATTATTTTTTATCTCTTTTCTTTTTATCTTCATTTATTATATGTTGACAAAAAGAAAACTATCTCAGTCTACATAGATTTACGTAAATGAAAAATTCAACATATTCTAAATAAACTACCACAATAATCGAATATTGTTATTGATTTTGTTTATTAATATATATATATATATATTAATACAGATTACTATTTGATAATAGTCAAAACTTGCAAATCTTGTCGGTTATGGCATCATCATCTTCTTCTTCACGGAAGATAAGTATACTACTCATAACTTCAAAATATTTTTCTAAAAAAATTTGATAATTATGCTTTACCAAATAAATATATATATTTTTTTTATATATAGAATAAAGTATTGTTGTGGGAAGCACTTGAAGATGAAGAAGGTGATGAGTTTTTACTGGAAACAAAAGAGAGAGTCATGAAGCCTTTGTGTTCAGATGCAGATCGTGGAAGAGAATTTCTTTATGATTTGATCGAAGGTCGTCCAGGCCAATACCACGATATGTTAAGGATGTGGCCTGATGTCTTTACTCAATTATGCAATGATCTAAAAGATGTTTATGGTTTGCACAACACAAATAATGTGTCTGCAAAGGAGAGTGTGGCTATGTTTCTACACATATGTGGACATAATATAACACAACAGAATGCAATACGTACATTTGGGCATTCAGTAGAGACAGTCTCCAGGAAATTTCATGAGATGCAAGATCTTGTCATATTGAAGGGAATTGATATGTTCAAACAAGATTCTACTGTTCTTATGCAAGTTCATCCTAAGCGGATATCTAATAAGCATGTTTGTCCTTATTTTAAAAGACTTATAGGTGCAATTGATGGAACGCATGTATTTGTCATGGTGTCTGGAGGAAATCAACGAAGATACTGGAACAAGCATGGAAATACAACTATGAATATCTTGCAATATGCGATATAAACATGATGTTTACATATATTTGTGCTGATGTCCTGGGATCTGCTCATGTTGCAAAAGTTCTCTCGCTTGCTATGGAAGGTGATTCTAATTTTCTTCATCCACCTGATATAAAATATTATTTAGGAGATTCAGGATATGCAATGCATCATGGATTTCTTTGCCTATATCGAGGAGAATGGTATTACATAAGTTGGTTTCGCAGTCAGGAAGCAGAAAGAAACAATAGAGAAATGTTTAATCGCCGTCATTCATCACTTCGATCTGTTATTGAGAGAACTTTTGGAGTATGGAAAAAAAAGTAGTGTATAGTGAGAGATGAAGCAAGATATGAAATATCTACAATGTGAAAAATTATAATGGCAATAATGATCCTCTATAATTTTATTTGCAGGTTAAATCTTGCAGATCCTGGTTTTCATTCACAAGAAGAACATGCAGATGAACATGTTTTAAATGAGGAAGTACCTATACAATTGATGGAACAAGACCTTAGTTCAAGACAATACATAAAAGCTGTTTGTGACATAATTGCAAAAGACATATGGAAGGATTGTCATTAGATATTTTCTATCTTAGTGGTTTTTTATTTATTTAATAAATTATCATATTACTTAAATTTTAATAATTAATAAAATAGTTTCTATTCAATCATTTATATTCTACTATCCATTATGTGTATTTCTCTTTTTAATTATTATAGAAACCTTTTTTATTTGTATTTATTTTATTATGATAACTGAGAATTATCCTACTATTTTGATGGACTTAAGTAAACAAATAGATTAAAAGATATATTCAACACAAAAATATAGCAACTCATTCAAACTATTTTAATTCAATATCAATAGATTATTTATTGACTAGATTTTATTGAACAACCAAGATTTTAGCCCAAAATTTATGAAATAATCAAACCCTATTTTTGATTGATTTTTATGTCAATAATTGAATAATTTTCTTCTATAAAATAATTTTGGTCATAGCAATATAAATATATATGAAGATATATTTCAAATTTACTATTATAATTTATTTCATCTCCATATATATGTGGGCACATATACTTGAAATCATTTTTATTTTATTTTTGAAAACAAATTAGCAGTCACACCTTTTACAGTTTTTGTTAACAATCAAACTTTTGAAAATATTTAAAGTAACAGTCACAGTTTATAAAGCCAAATCTCTACCGCCAAAAGCTTATAGTCACAGCCTATAGTCACAGTCCTTACCAATTAAAGCCGAAAACTGATAAACCATCTAATTGATTAACGTGAAGCAAAGAAAACAACAATTACATTAGGTGATCTTTTACTTCTTGATTTCTAGCCATTTATCCACAATTTCTCAAACTCCATAGATCTGTAATTTAAGATTCTTCTCTGCAATTTTGTTTCAGGTACTACAGACTGCAATCGCTTAAAATATGCAGCTTCTTTTCACACCAATAGCTCAACTAAAACCAGTTTCTGATAATGAAATTTGGAAGATTAAAGCTCAAGTTCTGAAAATATTTAAAGTAACAGTCACAGTTTTTAAAGCCAAATCTCTACCGTCAAAAGCTTACAGTCACAGCCTACAGTCATGGTCCTTATTAATTAGAGCCGAAAACTGATAAACCATCTAATCGATTAACGTGAAGCAAAGAAAACAACAATTACATTAGGTGATCTTTTACTTCTTGATTCTAGCCATTTATCCACAATTTCTCAAACTCCATAAATCTGTAATTTAAGATTTTTCTCTGCAATTTTGTTTTAGGTACTACAGACTGCAATCGCTTAAAATATGCAGCTTCTTTTCACATCAATAGCTCAACTAAATCCGGTTTCTGATAATGAAGTTTGGAAGATTAAAGCTCAAGTTGCCCATGTGTGGTGATTCCAAAAAAATGACAAGACTAGAAATGCTGGTGGACTTGATAATTTAGAATAAACGTTTTTTCTTCATGAATTTTCCTTGTTCACTGGCTACAATCAAAAAGTTCATAATACTTTCGTTTTTTGTATCCCCACTCAATCTTGAACTTGTGGATGAAAAGGTATGTAAGCCTATATAAACTTTTCTCTTGTTACCCATCATTTGCTATATAATATCTTCTGCCACATTCCTCATTCCTAAATCTGTTGTTATTTTAACTGAGAGATCGTATACAAGCTTCCATAAGAGGAAAGTTAATATCCAAGTTCCAAAGTGAATTTGAGGAGGGAGTATGTCGTGTTTTGATGAATTTTAAGTTGTCTCCTAATCTTGTGAGTTTCAAGGCAACTCCACATTCTTTCAAACTATCTTTCACTTGGTCAATATATGTGAAACCTTGTGAAGAGATTTCAAACCACTCACTTCGTTTTAACTTCATTCCTTTCGACGAACTACTCTCCCAAACACATGACGAGAATGTTTTTGTGGGTACGTTTTACAACCATCTCTTCTATTCAGTTAAACATTTTCTCCATGTTCTTATAAAATTTCACCTTTTCATATAGATGTAATTGGTGAAATGATTGAACATGATCTTAAAGAAATTACTCTTTATAATGCTCCACGTAAGCTATTGAATCTTCAGCTTAAGAGTATTAGATTAGTATTTTCCAACCTTTATCGGTGGTTGTATTTTTATCTGTAGTTGTGCTTATAGTGCTTCTCTTTTTAATGTTGTTTTGACTCAGTGATTCCATAATTAACTGTGTATTTTGAAAAAAAAAAACATGCTCAAAATATATATTCGTATGTTCAATCATTTTCTGATGGACCTATTATTATACTTTGTAATCTCACGATTTGGATGGACAATTTTGAATCTCATCGCTGGAATTGATTCTCACATATCTGATTCTCGAAGATAATTTGTAAATCAAAGATAGGCATGAAATTTTTTTTTCTAGGATTCATCTGAGTTTTTTTGTGAGTTTGGCAAAAAAATATCGAGAAAATATTGTATTTAAGTGTTAAATATTTATTTTTATTTCAAAATTTTCAATTACCAATTAAACATTTTCATATGACAATCGTAAATCATTTTATGTACATATCAATTATTTATACGAAACACAAATTATTTTCAATTTTATTAGTAATCTTTTTTATCAATATTTTTTTTTCGTTTTTTAAATGATGAATACTGATAAAGTAAATATTTTATATGTTTTTTCTTTGATATTCGGCATGTCTAATTATATTTATAGGCAAAAACCATCTTTTTCTTCTTTTCACTTTTCCCCCCTGGAGAATCAAATTTGCATATTGAACCTCAAAAGCCTTTGTTTTTGGCAGAATAAAAGAAACTTCTGTTCTTTCTCCTCTCTTGACACCTTTAATGTTTCATCTCTGAAATCTCATTCTCCTTTTTAAGAAGCAATTGCAACCCTTTATTACTTACATGGCCAAGTCTGCTATGCCATTAAGTACTTGTGTCCACTGCTTCAATAGCTTCATTCATCTGTTCTAATTCTGGTTTTCCATCAAGGTGTCTTTGTAATCACCAGCTAAAGGAGACTTGTAATCTTTAGTTTCTAGCTTAGATTGAAACCAACAGTCGTGAGTTTCAACTTGCCCTAAAGAAATCAGATTCCTACATGCTTCACAAGAGTATCTAACTTTAGTGAACACAACCATAATTACAGAAACAAAACAACCAACTTGTAAGAAAATTAGCAGAGGAGTGAAAAAAGAAAACTATTCCTAAACAAGTTCATGTTTCCTCTTTATATATATAATATGATTACATTAATCAGTAAGAGATTACCTTAATATTCCAACTTGTCTGAACATTCTGTTTCAGCTACTTCTGTAATCAGTAAGACAGTAATGTTGAAGAAATTTACAAATTGCCCTTTTGTCAGCTAAGTAAAATTCACATTCGATACTCGTTACCAAAGCTTTTGGAAAACCAATCAATTCTATGCAACTACTGAAACATATTTTATTCTTACAATAAAAACAAACACATTGTTACCAAATTCTGCAGCTCCAGACTAATTATGATACAATATATTCAATACTCAATACTCGATATCAAGATTTTGGATCAATCAACTGAAACATGTTCTTTTATGGTGACAATAACAATACATTGATACTAAAACAGAGACTTGATTCTGCAATTGTAAACATATAATGAAACAGACAATCACTTATGTTGTAGGTATCTTGATCTGAAATTTTACAATACGTATATTTACCCATTAGAATTTTACCAGAGACATCAAAGAAAATGCAAAACTAAACTCTTTCTATCTTATCGTATACAAGCACTAAGGTTGACTCAAACGAGTTTACAATGACAAAATTGTAATTAACATAAATATTTTCAGCGAATACGATTGACATGAGAAAACAACTCAGCACATGGTTTTGGAGCGGATTTGATGGCAGTCTCTCCAAAAACATTCCAAAGACTGAGTCTCTCGTCTCGTGCAGCTGAAGCCACTGTACAACCATCTGGACTCTGAGCCGTACACAGAATACTTGACAAACGATCAGTAAGCGCAGCCATTCTCACCATCGACGGATACTTCCAAAGCGTGAGCTGGTTCTGACTAAACCCATGAGAGCTAAGCAACTCTCTCTCTCACTCTTGCTCCACAACAAAGAAGAAACTTGAGAGCCAGTGTCTATCGAATTCAAACAAGCCCCTGTACGAGTATTCCACATCTTTATCGTCCCATCTCCTCCAGCACCACCGGTTGCTAGCAGATTCGCTTGGAAAGGACACCAAACAAGAGCGTTAACTGCGGTCATGTGTTCCTCAACCCTGTGAAGCCGTCGATTGGTGGAACGGTCCCATACATGAGCCAAATTATCGTTGCCTCCGCTCACTAAATGCTGTCCTGAACCTGACCACTTCAACCCACAAACTCTCAAGTGTGACCTCTGTAAGTCCCCACAACGTGTGAACCGATCCGTGAATCGTTGTTTATGATAAACCCATCTCCTCCTCCCGTTGTTAAGATATGTCCGTTCCACGCCAATGATCCTGATACGAGTTGTAATCGAAACTTAATAAAAGAAGCAACTTTAAAGGGCAAAGATTATAACTTTTGTAGTAACGAGTACAAACTGAGAGATTTTTATGGAAGATCTCTCCCCCTCCTCACACAAGATCACTCACAAATGTCTTGCCCCCCTCTTACTACAACCCTTACTTCTTAATATACTAAACGACACAACTAACTCTTCACACTAACCGTTAAGGCCCATGTGATGAGATAGCGACAGACACCTTACTACAGTTTATTCTAACTCTACTACGATTAACGACACTCCTTCGGGACCACGCCACACTCCACAAAAGCAGCACTCCGGTTCAAGCATGTGTCGGTTTGACCTTCCTTCGGTAATGGTAGATAACCGGCGGATGTTCTGCCTCGTACCTATCAATACCCCCTCCCTTCAAACTAACCTTGTCCTCAAGGTTGAATCCTGGAAACTGCCCTTTCATCACACTCTTCCATTCCCACGAGCTATCATAATCCGACAAGTCTTTCCACTTAATCAGCACTTCCTCCTGACCAGAACTAGCATTAACTCGCGATCCCAACACTGTCTCAGGCTCCGCCACCAAAACTCTTTCCTCGGTCATCTAAGCTGGTAAGGGAACTGTCATAATTTCCTCCCCTACTGCCCTCTTCAGCTGCGACACATGAAAAGTGGGGTGTATCTTAGCATCCAGGGGCAACTTGAGCTTGTAGGCGACAACTCTCACACGGGCTTTCACTTCGTACGGACCGTAAAACCTCGCAGAGAGCTTCTCATTCGCTCGTCTTGCTAGTGTCAACCTTCGAAAAGGTCTGATCTTCAAATAAACTCAATCCCCCACTGCGAACTCCACTTCCCTTCGATGACCATCTGCCCTTTCCTTCATGATTTGCTGAGCCTTGTGTAAGTGCTCCTTTAGGAGAGCCAAATTGTTATCCCTTTCTCTCAGCTTATCCTCGAGTTCCCCATTAGTCGTAGACCCCTCTTCGTATTTCAACAGAGCCGGAGGATCTCGCCCGTAAACTGCTTTGAAGGGAGACATCTGAATGGCTGAGTGGTATGAAGAGTTGTAACTCAGCTCTGCCCAAGGTAGGAATGAGACCCACTTCCTCGGTTGATCTCCTGCATAACAACGGAGGTATGTCTCGAGCCCTCGGTTTGTCACCTCTGTCTGCCCATCGGTTTGTGGGTGATAGGCAGTGCTGAAACAGAGATTGGTTCCTGCCAAGCGAAACAATTCCTTCCAGAAGAGACTATGAATACCTTATCTCTGTCGGAGACGATGGTCTTCGGGAAACCATGGAGCTTGATGATCTCCTGTGCAAATAGCATTGCCACATTGGTAGCCGAGAAGGGATGCTTAAGGCGGATGAAATGTGCATATTTGGAGAGCCTGTCGACGACTACCAACACAGCGTTGTACCCCTCAGACCTCGGCAGTCCCTCCACAAAGTCCATAGCGATATCTTCCCATATTCGAGTGGGTATAGGAAGGGGCTGTAGCAGTCCCCCTGGAGCGAGTGTTGAGTATTTGTAACGCTGGCATACCTGACATGCTGAAACGTATCTCCTGATGTCTGTCATCATGCCTTTCCAGTAGAACAGTTCTCCGATCCTTTTCTGAGTTTTTAACACCCCTCCATGACCTCCCATCTTTCCATCATGGAACTCTTTCATGATGCTCCCAGTGAGAGTTGAGGCCCGCGGTAACACTAGCTTTCCCAACCTAAGGAGTCTACCTTGCACTAAGGTGAACTCAGGTTGAGACTGTGGGTCTCGTTTTAGTGCCTTTACTATCTCCTGCAACTCCTCATCCCTATCCACCTCACTACAAATCTCCTCCAACTGTATTGCTGTAGGAATCGTGAGCGCATACAGCTCTGGAACTGCTTCCTTTCTTGATAAAGCATCGGCCGCTTTGTTCTCAAGGCCTGGCTTGTATTGAATGTCAAAGTCAAACCCGAGAAGCTTGGTCAACCACCTTTGATACTCCATGTTTATTTCCCGTTGTTCTAGGAGAAACTTCAAACTCTTTTGATCAGTTCGTACTAAGAAATTCCTTCCTAACAGAAATTGGCGCCATTTTTGGATTGCAAAGACGATGGCCATCAGCTCCCTCTCGTAGATAGATTTATGCCTCTGTCTCCCTGTCAACGCTTGACTGAAGTAGGCCAAGGGTCTCTGTCTTTGCATCAGGACTGCTCCTAGACCGATGCCCGAAGCGTCAGACTCAACCACAAACAGCACTGTGAAGTCAGGCAAGGCTAACACCGGCCCGTAGTCATTGCTGTTTTAAGCTTCTGAAATGCTTCGGTTGCTTCCACACTCCATTTGAAACAGTCTTTTTCAAGAGGTCTGTGAGGGGTTTCGCTATTGCTCCATAGTTTTGCACAAAGCGTTGATAGTACCCCGTCAGACCTAAAAACCCTCGCAGATCACAGATGTTCTTCGGCTCTGCCCAACTCACCATCGCACTGATCTTGCTGGCATCCGCTGCTACCCCTGCTGATGATATCACATGCCCCAGGTATTCGATTTGCTCACTGCCAAACTGACACTTCTTCTTGTTGGCGTACAGCTTCTGTTGTGCCAAAACCTCTAATACTTTCCGAAGATGCTCCTGGTGGTCCGCTCGGTTTTTACTATACACCAGGATGTCATCAAAAAAGACCAGCACATACTTGCGCAGGAAGGGCCTGA